ATGGACCTGCCCTTTTGCAAACAGATATTTCACGCTCAAACAAGGGCCTAAGATATAACCAAACCTCGCTACGTTTTGAAGGATAATGTCCCAGTTATATGTTTCTTTTTAAGTCGTGTTGTTATTTTTTTGCATGAGTCATGCTACGAGTATCATAAAAGCAGCATTGGTGATGTTTTCGTATGTTCTATTTTGTATTGTATATTATGTTTATATATATATACTTGTATATGTGAGCGGTAGTCATTGCCAAAGCCAACGACTAGTTGGGTACAAAATACAATTAATTGTTAATTGGGAAAATTGGCAAAACTCTTAGGCTTAAGTTGACTCTTTTGACGATAAAATCAAGCTTTCGGCATTCTCTATGGAGCCTTCATCAGGATTCTGAAAACACAATTGTGATGCTAGCAAAGAAAACAGGACAGATTTAAATTGTCAGACAACTTACTCGTCGGTGAGGTTGCAACCACAAGGTGTTTCAGAACGAACGTAGAGAAGATTGAAATAATAATCAGTATAAACACAAAAGGACGGGGACATTGGGTTTGATGTAAAACGACAGATACCTTCGTTAAATGTTAAAAATATCAATCCACCCGAACAAGTTAAAAATATTAGATGTGAGACGACATTTGTTGAAACAATCGGAATGCAGATTGTAACGTTCTGTACTCGCAACACGTGGAGAGGGGGACGGCACCGAAAGATAAAGCGTCGACAGATGACAAAACCCATCTTTTCAAGGTTGTATCAATATCACACATTCTTACACTCATATGAGCTACACAAAATTTTTCCAAGACAAATTAATTCAGCATTTTAGTAATTTTGGGTGGAGGTTTACCGAGCGTCCCTCGTATACTTCATACCCAAAACTGGACAGAGAGGTTTACATTTCCACGGTCCGTCGCGTCAATCACAATGTCGTCTAACATGTAATATTTTTAACTTGTTCGGGTGGATTGATATTTTTAATATTTAACGAAGGTATCTGTCGTTTTACAACAAACCCAATGTCCCCGTCCTTTTGTGTTTATACTGATTATAATTTCAATCTTCTCTACGTTCGTTCTGAAACACCTTGTGGCTGCAATCTCACCGACGAGTAAGTTGTTTGACAATTTAAATCTGTTCTGTTTTCTTTGCTAGCATCACAATTGTGTTTTCAGAATTCTGATGAAGGTTCCATAGAGAATGTCGAAAGCTTGATTTTATCGTCAAAAGAGTCAACTTAAGCCTAGTTTTGCCAATTTTCCCAATTAACAATTAATTGTATTTTGTACCCAACTATACTTGTATATATATACAGGGTGTTCCTTAAAGATATGAGAATATTTAAGAGTGTGAATCTACATGAAAAATTATTGTTAGTTTGCTTTATACACTATGGTTCAAAAACGTTGCCTTACAAAAACTCGGGGTGTTGACGTTTTAGGAGAAAAATGGAAATTAATTAATATTTTAAGAACCGCTTCAGATATTTCACTGATATTTAGTACATAGTGGAAGTTAATAAAGTTGCATATTTTCCAATGCAAAAATAATTTTTAGCTTTGACAGTGGCGTGCGTACGGGTATTGAATTCGACCTTTTTTAATGAAAAAATAGTACGCCAATGGTTTTTTTGCCAAATAAAAATTTATTACTAATATGAAAAAATTGAGATATACCCTCCACGCCTACTACCTTTTTACCCCTTAAATGTTTTTCAAAGTTGATCAGAATCCTCTGAAACGTCAGCAAAACGGAGTTTGAGCAATTTCAATTTTTTCGTATTGGCCTTTTTCGCCGCCGTCACTGGATCGATTGTAAAAAATATGCTTTTTTGTCAATGGCTTTTGGCAGTAGTAACGTTGTGTAAGAATTTCATGCAAATCCGAACAGTACTGTCCAAAATATGGGCAGGCCAAGGATTAGCTGATATATAGACAGACAGACCGACAGACGATTAAAGTAATTTCTCGCCGCGAGGCGTAAGAAGTAAAAAATCAGCTTTGGTTGCAGCATAATTTCTTTTGCCCGTTAATGACGTTTAGTCGTGCTTAATAATCTAAAATAAAATTAAATAATTTGAACTACTTTGAGAATTCGCAGAAGTTAATGACGTTTAAGATTGAATGTTATATGAATTGTTTTAGTAGAACAATTCTACCTCAGATAGAGTTATTTGGACAATGATAACGCTTTTGTTCTTATTCAATCTCATCAGTCGAGTAGAAAATCGCAGCACCCTGTATTTTGGCAATGGCAAATTTTAGGACCGACGCTTATAGCGACTTCTTTTGTTATTCTCGGATGTACTTTCTAATCCAGAAATATTGCTACGTTCTTCTCAAACAGACTGTATACTTATAAAGTTAGGTTTTACCTTTTTCCATCTCAGTGAGATAATGAAGTTTGCTTGTTTACACCATCAATTTAGTGATGAAATACCTTCTGATCCAAACTTCTTGGTACCACTTTTTACCGCCACAACCGGCAATTAAAACCTCGGCGTCGACGGCGATTTCAACGCTCGAGGGAACAGACGGAAAAAACAAATAACTGCGTTTCAAAAGTTTAAAAGCTCCCGACGGGGAACGATTTAAATTCATTCATTAAGCTTGAAGCGATAGGCCACAGATTTTTGCCTCCATTTCTTGCTTGGTTGGCTGCCCATTCGCATAAAATCGCAAATAGACGTTCAAATTGCTTTTCGAGCGTTTCCATGTAGCTCCACGAAACTCTCCTTGACTGTTTTAATGTCTCACTTTATTTTTCAACTTTATGGGTGGAACGTATAAGGGAGCTATCCTTGCAATGGCTGCAAAATCATTAACAAAACTTTTCCATTCAAACCGAAGCTGAAATTAGCAGATTATTATGTAGCTTCCTGAATTGGGTCAGCATTTCTCGGGAGCGTAGCAAAGAGTACAGGCTAATTAAGGTCTGTTTGCTTTCTCTGTGATAATAACCATATACAGGGTGGCGCATCGAAACAGACGCATTTACTGGCAGCTCAGTTTTTTTTAAAACACTCGATTTTGTTTTCGAGCGGGACAGAAGTTTGGCAAAAAAATCACGTTAGCACGTGCAGCCCCTTAAGCGGGGGTGACACCACCCCCAAAATCTTAAATGGAAAGGGGGGTCGAGTGATACCTTATTTTAAAGGCCTTTCAACTCCCTTTATAATGATATAAAATTAATGTACTTCAGTGCAGTAGTTTTGAAGATTTATTGATTTAAAGCTTAAATAAAACTAATACACCATCATTAGTGGAGATCAATACATTTTGCAGCAAAGTAATTTAAAGATGAAGAATGAACTGACCCGTTAGGCAAGTAAATATTGAAAATGGCCACCATGACTCTCCATGCAATAATAAAGATTTTGCTCAAAACGTTGCCGCACATTTTGCAATATTTGAGGAGTAATTTGAAGGCACTCATTCATAATTCTTTGTCGCAGGTCTTCTAATGATGTTGGCTGAGTAGCATAGATTTTGCTTTTTAAATGACCCCACATAAAGAAATCCAAAGGTGATAAATCTGGCGATCTTGGGCGCCATTCAATGGCACCTCTTCTACCAATCCATCGATCTGGAAACGTCTGATCTAAATATTGTCGAACACGTAATGCGGAATGTGGTGGGGCACCATCCCGTTGGAACATCAACCTATTCGCAATGTACCGCCGATCATTCTGATTTTCAATTATGGCTGTTAATGCAGGATCTATGGCGTCTTCAAGTAATTCCAAATACATTTCAATGGTCAAATTTCCAGGTAAGAAAAAAGGACCAACTAAATGATCTCCAAAATACCAGTCCAAACATTTAATTTTTGTGGCTGCTGTGTATGAACCTCATGATAAATTCTGGGATGAGGACCTTACCAATATCGGCAATTATGACGATTTACTACGCCATTTAAGAAAAAGGAACATTCGCCGGAAAACCAAGTGTTGAATAGAAAATGTTCATCGTTTATAATTCCTTCACTCATATTTTCACAACTTGTAATCGCCGATCAAAATCGTCTTCATTAAGTTCTTGTACCGGGTGAATTTTATACGGATGAAAACTATGGGCATTTAGAATCCGTTGGACAGTACGTCGACTAACACCACACACAGTCTCCAATTTGCGGGTACTTAACGTAGGATCTACATAAACTTGCCCTAAAACCCCCACTTCTATTGCTTCGTTCCTTATGGGATTTTCAATGTTGCGTTTTTTATTGGCGACAGACCCAGTTTCCCGAAATTTAGCTACAAGTCCTAGAACATATTTTCGATGCACGTTACTGTTCTCATGTCGCTCATTAAATATTTCTGCTGTTCTATTAGCGCACTGATTATTTCCGAAAAATATTTCGATAATTCCAACTCTTTCTGCTGTGGAATATACGACGGATGTCTTTTAAGTTTTGCATATAGAAACATAGTAGGCCGCGTGGATCGAACGTCAGTCCTGAATCTTAACCTCACTCTTTAGTAAACTTAAATTCAAGGTTTCACAACAATACGTGCAGTTTTCTCACTACAGTGAATTCTTAAGTGTCACTAAGTCATTAGAAAACTAGAACTCAACCGAGAACATTTTCGCGCCATAATTTATTACAACTTTCAGAGACAATTATCGCAACAAGAATGCCTTGCTGAGTTACTGTCTGTTTCGGCAACGAAGCGCCACATCAGTCGACAATTTCCCGTTGGTATGGATAATTCAAACGTGGACGGGTGAGTCTTAGCGACGATCCCAGGGTGGGTGCACCAAAAACGGCAGTCATCTAGGAAAACCTCAATGCTGTGCGCAAACTCATCATTGAAGATAGACATGTGACATATCGCGAGATTGAGGCATCCTTGAAGATCTCAAAAGCCTCAATTTAGAATATTTTACATGAAGAATTAGGAGTAAGAAAATTAGTTTCTCGTTGGATACCCCACCTGTTGACTGAAGAGCAGAAAGCAGCCAGGGTTAATTGGTGTCAAAAAACGCTTGACCGTTTCAATTCCGGAAACTCAAAAAATGTGTACAGCATTGTTAGTGGTAATGAATCTTGGATTTACTGTTATGAACCAGAAAATAAACGACAGTCGGCTGTTTGGGTGTTCCAAGGTCAAGAAAAGCCAACAAAAGTCATCCGTTCTCGAAATGTTTCGAAAAAGATGGTCACGACATTTGAGCAAAGAACTGTTACTGCGGATTGGTATGCCACCATTTGTTTGCCAAAAGTCATCAACGAGCTTCGAAAAATCAACCCCGAAAGAAGTATCATCCTCCACCAAGACAATGCAAGCTCGCACACAGCCCAAAAACAAGGCAGTATTTAACGGCAGAAAACGTGGAATTATTGGACCATCCTCCATATAGTCCCGATCTAAGTCCTAATGATTTCTTTACTTTCCCGAAAATTAAAAACAGACTGCGTGGTCAAAGGTTCCAGAAGAAGCAGTTGTCGCATTCAAAAATGCCGTTTTGGATCTGCCAGCAAACGAGTGGAATAAGTCCTTCGAAAACTGGTTCGAGCGCATGCAGATGTGTATTAGTCTTTGTGGAGAATACTTCGAAAAACAATAAAGTCATTTAAAACTACCTACCGTGTTGTTTTATTTCCATATGCAAAACTTAAAAGAACATCCCTCGTAGCATGGTTAATTTATGTAATAAAGCGTAACAAGTTATTTTAGCAACAAAGTTTGATCAAATCAATCGCAAACTATGTACTAAATTCCTACTTAAAATAAGTACGAGATATTTCCTTATCTTTCTTCAAGAAATAACTTTTTTGCCACAAAAAAATGCTCCAAGAGCTATTTTCAACAACTAAATGATAAACAAACCATGGGCGTAGTGAAAAAAAGCATTTTCTTACTAAGTAAATTCTTTTAGTCAAATTTCTTCTGAAAGTAGTACAAACTAATCTGATGTACCTATTAAAGTCTACTTTAAGCTTTGAATCAATAAATTTTCAAAACTACTGAACTTGAAGCTCATGTATTTTACATCATTATGAAGGGAATTAAAAGAACTTTAAAATAAGGTATCACTCGACCCCCCTTTCCATTCAAGATTTTATTGATTTTTTGGCAAACTTGTGTCAGCCTCGAAAACAAAATCGACGGGTCTGAGCGTTTTTCAAACTGAGCTGTCAGTAAATGCGTCTGTTTCGTTTTCGATGCGCCACCCTGTATAACATTTTTTCATACTTTTCAGCAATCATCAGTTCAGTATACGTCTAGTCATTGGAGAGTAGATAAGCAAAAATAGGTCTATTAAATGATCAGTACTGTAGTGCGCAAAAAGTAGACACTGCCAACTATGGACAGTTCGCCAAACACGATACTACCCCTGTGTCGGTAACAGGAAACTACTTTGATTGACAGTCTAGTTTAATGAAAATAAACACAGACTGAATACTGTTTGTTTGCTTTCCGTCTCTGTCTCTGACAAATTATGTCTAATTATTGGAGAAAGGCAGCAGCTCCTATTCAGCATGTGTAGAGTTTATGCAAATTTTTGCATCATACGTCAAAGCTTAGTATTCCCCTGATTAATGAGATGTCTACGTGGTTTGGTCCGTATGATTGAAGTGGACTGTCAGCAGGAGATACCGGAAACTGCTACCGATGCACAGAGGTCTAGAACACCAAAAACAATTTGTGCAGTATGTATAATATAATTTTCAGTAGAACAGAGGTTTTTAGGTTGCTGATCTCAAATCTGGGGTTAGTTTGTCTCCATGAGGGACTTTGAAGGTCATTCAAGGTCTTATTAAGGAAATTTTCAAAGGAAACAGAGTATTTGACACCAACCATATATCGTTTAGGCTTTTATAGTTACTAAGTCTGAATCAGCGGTCAATTAGTCACTATGAGGACATCTAAAAGTCATTTCAAGGTCACTCCAGGAACCAATTCAAAAAAGTCTAGCATTCGAATCCAAACGCGATCATTGAGTCAAAATAAGAGATCAATTTGTCTCTAGCAAAGCATTTGAACGCCTCTCAAATGACAAATTTACAAAAGTTGAATATTCGTTTACCACCATCCTCCATAATATGGCGACAGTACATAAGTTTCTCAGAAATTTGCAAATATTAGCAGAAACTGACACTAGGTTTTACCTGACAATACTTCAAGGGTCACAAACATTATTTATTTCAATCGGACCGAAGGGCGGAATCTCATCAAAAACCTCTCTAAATAATACTAATATAAGGAAGTGAAGGTAAAAAGAGTATCCCGTTCAATTCACGCTCTGCATGAAATCAACAGATTTTTATTACGCCAAATGAAAGTTCGTACTCTATGAAGATCCATGTTTAAATATTTTCAACCCACAATAATACGGATGATACAGAAGCTCTCCAATTTTGCAGTTAAAAAGTAGTCTCGAGTGATACACTGCAAACAACTTTAATGTTAAAAGTAGAGCAATCAGATTTCTGATACCATGCCCAACTTACTGTTTAAGGTATTAACATTCTCAGCTAATAAATTTTATTTATTTTCGATATTTTATTTTTTCTACGTCAGGTTTTCGCATTAATAGACCACTGTGCGACGTAAACGTGGGTAGTACAGCGATCGACGCTTAGATGGCAGTATCACCCTCTTCGCATGACAGAGAGACCAGAACTTCCATTCACCAGATAGATCCCAAAATTTTCTCTTGCTGACATGCTAGGTTATTATTTATAAGATTTCACAGATAAACCTTCCAAACTCGGTGTACCGATGTTGAAGCATGTTTCGGCAGTATACCGTTACTGGTTAAGCTTTATCATCAAAATTTACATTCTACTGGATAACACAAAGATCAAATGTTTGTACATATCACGGTATCGGGTTACTGTCACCAATTTTACTTCATGTACTATCATCTTATGACATTAGTGGCAACATACTTTGTATGTCATGCAGGGTAAGTTTTTGGTGTTTAATCAGCGCTAGCCCGGTTATTTTGAAGCATAGGTAATGAAAAATAGTTACAAAAACTGTCAGCGGCTATACGCTCCAAACTTGGAAAAATAACTGTTCTCTAGAAGGTGATCCATAACTACATGGCAGCACAAATAGATTTTTTAAATTCCCTCTCCAAAAAAAGAATTTTACTAACACACTTATACCGCTACTTCTGGAGCTACGGTATATTTTGTCCGAAAAAACTCGACTCTAACAGCTTTTAAATCAGTCAGTTTTGCAGATAGAGTAGCATTTGGCTAAATGTAGTTCCTCGCTAATTAAATGCTCTTTCTACCAGCGCAACGTGCGGAAAATAATCACTTTCAACACGCATCTGCGTGCAGAAAGTAGCACTTTTCCGCACACATAGCTTTTCCGTACGCATACGCAATCCAAATAACTGTTCTTTCACTTTTAATATTGTCAATAAGTATTATAAATGGATTATTGATGTTGTTGTTGTTGATCTTGTTGATTGTACAATTATTAAATTTCTAATAAAACATAATACGTATTTCAAATCCTGGGCTTATTTTCTCGCGCTGCGCTGTTAGAAAAAATCTTATACCTAACACATGTGGAAAGTGTATTTTCCGCCCTTGATTTCTTGCAACTGTCGTCACGTGCGGAAGAGTATCACTTTCCGCACTTGTTAGGTAAATAACTATTTCAACTTCTCACATCGTCTATACGGCGTATTTATAAGCTTCAAATGAAACACCCCTTTTGCGGTTTTGACTTATCCTGGTTATAAAGTCCACTTTGGTATAAAGTTTTTGGAAGAGGGCTAGATTATTAAGCCTTTGAGTCATTCACAGTTTTCCAGAAATTACAACTCAAAATAAATACCGAAAGATTCGTAGAATGGGGGAAGCTGGGTAGTAGAGGGGTTAGCGCATCGAGCTATTAACCGGTCGATCCGAGGTTATCGGGCTCGAATCTTCGCCTCGGAAATTAATTCTGAGCCATGGATGTGGTGTTGTGTGTTGTATATATCACCCACCATATGTATGTAAGAGGTATATCATATCGCTATAGCTGATTTATTCAATAATCAGCTAAAAGTAATTGGCTAACACAGTGTTGATTCGACGGGGTTGGAAAAAAGTAACACAGGTTGCCTAGTTGTCAGGCTTCGCCTCCCCCCCCCCCATTTGCTACTATATTCATAGAAAGGGAAGCCTAACGTGGATGAGTGCAATCTCTCCGATAAGCAACTAATTAGGTGAAAGTTTGATATCAATTGATGGATAACTAAACAAGAAAATTTAATAGTAAAGACATCATTACAATACCTCAAACATACCAACCTCTCAGTGAAGCTTTTGAAACCTTATATAAAAATCTGGAAAATTTTCAGACCAATGTAAAAAATATATAAAAATTTTTATGAACTAAATGTTATTTTAAAATAAACAAAAACTGACTTATAATCAATTATTTTGACGGAAACATGGAACATAATAGACACTTCATTATTTACCATACAGGGATATAAGATAATATATAATTTTGGAAATTATAATCAAAAAGACGGCATTATCATTTATATTAAAGAAAATATCAAAATTCTAAACAATGAAGTTATTACATTAAATTGTAATGAAGCTATTAAGTTAACCATTATACTTGAACAAAATAATATTAAAGTAATATCTATATGTATATAGATCCCCTCTTCAGCAGTAAATGGCTTTATAAATTGTCTAAGTGAATTCTTAATTCTTCAAATAACTACCTAAATTTAATGAGTAATTTTGGTTTCCTATCATATACAGGGTTGCTTTTGACCTAATCTATCACCCCTTAACAGGAATACGTGACATTACAAGTCACCCTGTATAAACACTGCAACACTAATAGAAGGTACCTCAAAATCTTGTATTGATCATATCTTTATTAGAGACTTGAAAGAAAAATTAATTATAAACCAATTCTTTTAGAAACTAACATAACTGATCATGTTTTCACTATATTACATACATATTATATCCAAAAGTAAAAACCTTGACACACGAAACACTAGCCATTGTAAATATGATTTAGATAAAAAAAAACTAATAAACAACATGACTAAAGAAAAATGGTTTGATATATTAAATGCTGAAAACTTGAAGATAGCTACCAATACCTACATAAAAGAAATTCAATATTGTGTTAATATAAACACTAATAAAATTAAACTAAAAAGGTGCAGTGTTAAAACAAAAAATCAACAATGACGTTCTGAAAGAAATAGAAAAGAAAGACAAAATTTATATAACAATGATCAATAACTCTACAATAGAAAGCATAAATAATTATAAAAAAACTAGAAAGAGTCTAACTGAAAAAATCAAAAAAGCCAAAACAGATTATATCCAAAAAAAGATTAGTGAAAACGGAATGCCTTGAAAGAAACGGGAACAAAATTGAAAGATATCACAATTAACTTGATAAAAAATGAAAAAAATCATAT